TGTCTAAAAACCTTAGATGGCTGGGAAGCCCATGTAAGCCGTGTATTTGTTTTCCTCCCTTTTCACTGACCTCGCCAGATTTTCATGCTTGGATATTAGAGGAAATAAGATAGTCTTTGGGAGAGCTGTTTATTCGACTGACACTCCAGTCGATTACTAAATGGTTACGCGGCCTTTGCATGGTGATGGCCTGGGCTAAATGCAAGGCTGTCTCATCCTAATGGGCTTTAAGGATTATGTGCGTATGCTATGCTACGCTTCAGCAATCATGGCTCTCGCAGCCTGGTGTGCACTGACAGTTCTCTGGCACCTGATTCCCTGCCGGTGAATGTGTTTATGCTCCCGCAGGGTACACAAACCGTGTGCATGGTTGCCCATTGACTTGTGTCATCCTCTTCTTCCTGACCCATTTCTGCTGTCGGCTAAGATCCTGGTCAAAAGCTTGTTGTGGACCAAGTTTGGTGGTACGCCTGGGTGCGGGTCTGGCCGTGCCAGCCACCGCCAGGTGCGGGGGGAGAGGACGCGGCAGATGCTGTGCAAATGCCCGTCGACATTAGCCGACTTACGTAATTCACTATAACTGAAGCTGCGATCGTACGTCCCTTTTTATTCTGTTTGCAGGAAGATCCCTGGAAGGAACACGAGAAGCACTCTCCAGCCTGTCCTTACGTCAAACTTGGTCAACCGTATGAAAAGTTGACTCGTCGTCAAACAGTGGACTTGGAGACCAGTCGTTTCAAGCACTTCTATGCGGACGTGTTTTCCCGGGCCGTGGATCCTAGGATAAAACGCCTGGATGAATTTGTAGAGGCACTACATGCTTCAGTCAGTGTCTACGAGCCTCAGGAAAAATCAACCGCCAGCAATCCAAGTCGGTCACGTCGAACCACCCGAACGAAAAGGGGAAAATAGTTTCCTGCCCATCTGCTTTTGATATTTTATTTTCTAGCTGTTTGTAAGTGTCAGTGTTCCAGGTGCATGTCAGTCTGAAGAAACTGTTTTATATAAAAGTGGCACCCACCTGTGCTGAGGGGCGCTGCCCACCTGACTGTCGGCTGAGAGCCTGGCACCTATTCACGGCTGTTAACACGACTATCAATCAACTCTTGAGGCCGGATACAGAGTCCGTGCAGAAGTCGGAACGCGGTGACAGAGTGCTTCCAACAGAGGTTCCAGCTTTCACACAAGAACTGCTCCGGCGCCATTGTCAAAATATTGAGAGATTAGAGACATCGAGTTAGCACAGTCCACTATAGATAGCCTCTTTACCTGGCGGTTTTTACGTGCACTCCGGGCAGGAGACCCTAGAGGTACTTTCGAATCTCGCCGACTTTGCATGTATGCCCCGTAAGGATCTTACTACATGGAAAGGTGGTTTTGGCGTCGAAATACTTGACGAGATCTGAAAAGTTATTAGCAACTGTGCGTGTGTTGGGATAGAAAACACTTATCCATGCAGATCGGCCAAAGTTGTCCTTTTTAAAAGAAAAGTGTGATGTTATATTGAGTAGCAGCGTGACCCTGCGTCCATTTCGTCCTTAATTACTAAACTGAAGTAGTCTGACACGCCACTGAGTCTGAGTTACCAACGTCCTGGCAGGTGCTATTAGCTGGCGACCACAAGTTTCTTAGGACGCAGACGGCGACTTTATGCACGGTTTACTTCCTTCTTGCCTTTTTAGACATAAAATCTGTGGGTGGGAGTCGCAAGTTTTCGAATGAATGAGCAAAGTTACAGATCTCCGGGGGATAGGGGCAACCATCCGGATGATTTGTTTCCATCCAACACCTCTTGGTTTTAAAGAGCTCGCCCGCATGTGCAGCAGGTTCTCGCGTCTTCTCTCCCTCCCTGGCGGAGTGGACAAGGCGATAGGCATCGAAGCGAAGAGTTACCGCGTTCTTTGTAACTACATCGAAACAAAGCGCGGCATGAGTGGGGGGTCAGCGAAGTCAAAACTTAAAGCTATTGCCGAAGCGAAAACCCACCTAAAAAGGCCTGGTGATGGTTCCGCAGGAGGGTCTGGAGACCACCCGTCACCTGCTTTAGTTCCTGTCTCATGTCGGGAGTCAGCATGGCACTGGCCTCACTTAGAGAAAGCTGACCTGTAGGGGAAAGGAGATAACTGTCAGAGACAAACGGTACAGACAGTGAAGATGGAGGCTACTGAAGTAAAACAAAAATATGTCGAGTCTGCGGGGATGGGGGTGCCGAAGGGATCCGTCTGGTTGTGTTAATGGGTTAGTATTGCTGACCGTCATCGGAGGAATTAAATTCCCCTTCTCTGGACTGCAGTAAGACTTCTGACGTCTGTTTAACGGAAAGATTAGCTAAGCGCATTTAGACAAGTCCAGTTGGAAGACTTGTTTCCAGACGGGGAAGGCTGGCATTTCGAAGGACTAGGAAGGTATTCTGTAGAAACGAAAGTGGTCAGGGTAGTCTTTCTTACCCTGTGCCCCATCATCCGAGCAACAAACAAGCCAGTTGGGGAGGTCCGCACGCTTCGGGTGTGCTGCCCATAAGACAGCCTCTATAGCAGAGGCCAAAATTTTTCAAAAACAAGCACCACCTATCAGTTAACCTTTAAGATAGGACGACTAGTACGAATGATATTTGACCGGATAAGATTTTCACCGGACAAACACCAGCGGACAATTGGCCGTTTGTACGAGACGCGGTTAAGATCGAACCTGAACTATCCTGCGAAAATTGCAGGGCAGTGAGAAACCGCGTTGGTGGCAGTCGCGCCGTATTTTCAATCTTGCTACTAAATGACATCTCCAGTCCTGGGCCGCACGTCATGGAACAGATCTGTCGGGCGAGGTCCGTCACCATTCCCCAAACAAGTTGCAGGACAGTTGTGCGCCGTAGCGGCTCGGAAAGGCCTTTCACAGTAAGCGAAGTGGCCGGAGGACGTTTAAACGACAACCACGTTAAACCACCA